GCATGAAATTGCTACTGTCCCTTTTTTTTTCCAGGCCTTAATAAGAGCTGCAGGCCAGACATTTGTCCAATCAACTGAAGGGGGCAGATCTGAGCATTAACTCAGGGTCGGAGCCGTGGAGGAGAGAAAGGAGGGTCATGAATCAGACGCAAAGAAAAAGGGAAGAAAAAAGGTGAGCTGAGTGTAAATATAGTGCAGGTAGCGCTGTATAAAACTGGAGATGGCCACAAGGTGGTGTCTTTTTACATCTGAGCATCAAAATAATCCAATAATAACCCACCAATAATTAACCCCACATTTGGGAATTTCTTTTGTAAACAGCAGATCGACTGCAGCAGGCTGCCCTTTCATCTGGGAATCAAACCCTAACCTATCCCTTGCTTCTGAGTCAGGCTTGCTAACCGCTACACTGTGGGACCACTACACAAAAATGAGAAACATATCTTTCCTTTCACCTGGACACGTTTCACTTGCTTGATCTGGCAGCTGCCAATGTAGACTGGGTGGCGCCCCCTGGTGTCAGGTTGTTTATAATATCATCGGTTGTCTTCTGGACACTAGTGTCCACACTTGTACAATGGTGACAGGAAGTCTGGTTTTCAGCGGAAATATTTAGTGTTAGCAAAAACACCACGCCCATATTTCTAGGTTCCTCCTCATTGGTCCATTCGTAGAACAAACCTCTGAGTCTGACAACAACTCTGTGCATGTTGTTGTTGTTGTTGTTTATCCATGAACCCAGCAGACTTCGTGTTGAGTGTTATTTAAACGAAGCAGTTGTGTTGCGTACCTTGGTAGATTATAAAGTGGAGCCATGCGGAAACAGGCCACCACGGCTCTCTTCCTCTGTTTGGACAACAGTTTCTGCCAAACACACTTTTTGGACCTGAGCGGCTGCTCCACCTGAGAAGTTAAAAAAAAACTTTCAGTGAAACCATAGAACGTTCAACTGCCAATTTGTCAGAGACAAAGCGACGTGTATCTCTGAAGTCCCGACCTGCTCCAGGTTGAAAACCGCAGCCGAGATCCGCTGGATGCGGTCCACCACTCGCTCCGGGTCTGGAGGGCCTTCGGTCCTCGTTGCTATGTCCTTGTACAGGTTCAGCTGCCACCTGACTGCAGGGTCCTCTGACTGGGGGAGGGTTAGTGTTACAGAGTATTTCAAAGACCGGTCTACAGGAAGTGGCAGTGACAGTAATTACCACCTGGACAAACTCACCTTCTCTCTGAGGTGCAGGTTTTGGCGGATGTGATCTTTGACCTCATCATCTGTGTCTTTCTGTTCAGCAGCAGGAAACAAAGGGTTAAGATGAGACGGGGCTTAACTTCAAACTTCAAAACTTAAACTAAAGAATGCAGTTTTCATAATTTACTTTAAGTTGTCATTATATGTACAAGGAAAACATGGTTTGTGTCTCAATTGTATATTTATATTTACTTGTAACAATTAGCTCCATGCCAACATGCACTAAGAGTCATATTTGAAAACATACAAGAAAAAAAAAAAAACAACCATTTGGTTGATGCAGTCCAGTCCAGTATAGCTTAGTCCAGCCCAGCCCAGTCCAGTCCAGCCCAGCCCAGTCCAGTACAGTCCAGTCCAGTCCAGTCCAGTTTAATCCAGCTTAGTCCAGTCTAGTCCAGTCCAGTACAGTCCAGCCCAGTCCAGTCCAGTCCAGTCCACTCCAGCCCAGCCCAGTCCAGCCCAGTCCAGTTTAATCCAGTTTAGTCCAGTCTAGTCCAGTCCAGTCCAGTCCAGCCCTGTCCAGCCCAGTCCAGTCTAGTCCAGTCCAGTCCACTCCAGCCCAGCCCAGTCCAGTCCAGTCCACTCAAGCCCAGCCCATTCCAGGCCAGTCCAGCCC